GAAGATTCACACTCAAACATTTAAACCCTTAGGCACTCAAACCACCTTCTGATGACTTCGACAACTTCTCAATCTTGAATGAGACCTCTTTCTAGGCTTCTCTTGATAAGAATCACACTTGATCCCCTGCTATATGAATAATATCATGATATGCAAATGATATAACTATGCAAATGTTAATGCAATGAAACATAAACCAGGTAAGACAAGGTTGAGCAAATTTTGGGGTGCAACAGAAACCATGTGAAAATAGTTGTCGATTCTACTCGTTAATTCTATCCTAATTTTCTTTTTTATGTGGGAGTTTATATGGAGGCCGTACATTCAATATCCGGTGCCCAGTCTTGGAGATCGCCAAATCTGGAGTGCAACCACTTACCTTATTTGTTTCTATACCATTGAGATGCATCAAACGGATAAGGTAACTCTCTAGTTTGGATTAGACCAACAAATCCCTCCCCCGCCAAGGTGTCTAAGGGAACATCACGCAATGACCATGAGAAAAGCCCAAAAAGTTCATTGGCGAGAGTTAAACAAGGAGGAGGTGAGAGAATGGAGACACAGAAGAAATATGATTTTGCAGGGGGACGCTGCATTACGTGAACGCAAGCCAAGGCAGGAGTATTTAGCTTGGTTTCGTGTCATTCCTTATGTGCATGTTGCTCTAGAATAATATTTGACCGACCCACGCACGCAAGCATCATCATCAACACAACCGACTACCGCATCAGTGCATCAGGATGTGCCACCAACCTACACATCTCAATTTGGGGGGCACGCATCCTCGTCAGCTCAACATACATACCAACAACAAACACCCAACAATCCATTCCCTCAACAAAACTATAACTACCACTACAACCAACAATATCAGCCCCAACCCTACCTCCGACCACCCATGCAGTTCACCCCAGTCCCACCGCCCAACTTTGACCAGACCGGCCCACGTTTCCAATATCAAACCTTAAACACTACCTTCTCTCAACCCACCTCGACCTCCAACACTACCTTAACTCAACCCACCTCGACCTTCACGCCTGATGACGTCTACTACCCAACCCTTCAACAAACCCAACCCGAAACCTACCCGCAACCACCACACTCATTCCAAAATTTTTTGCTGACAGACGAGCAACTAATGCACATGCCGGATTTTAACATTAATGATCTTCTCGATGAGCAACCAGGACCCTCTTCACGGCAGGCAAACCCCCCTACAACACATCACAACGAAGACATGTCTTCCGACGCATCTCAATCACCTAGAAATGAGCGTTTGGGCAGGGGATATAGAGAGCGAATGACCACTAGATGTGAAACTGGGGTTCATCTTCGATGAAATGTATTTTTGTTTAATCAATTTTATTGTTGTAATTTAATCTTGTAAAGTTAAAATTATTTACATTTCTTATAATCTACATATTAATTAGTATTTTATAATTAAAATTTTTTAAAATGATATTATAAAAATTGTAATTAAAAATTATTCACATCAAAAATTGTAATTAAAAATTATTAACATTAACTATTTAAAATTATAATTATAAAATTGTAATTTATAATTAAATTAGATTATAAAATTGTAATTATAAAATTAATTAGTATTTATCATTAACTATTTAAAATTAAAAAATTATTAACATTAAAATCTTTAAATAATTAAAATTAAAAAAAAAAATTTTAAAAAAAGAACTAAACACGCTCGTCTACTGGGTGGACGAGCCCACAAAGCCCAACATGCGCAACACAAGCTCGCCCAACCATTGGACGAACCTGTACCCCCTAAATTCTTTTCTGCACTAGCTCGCTCATTTATTGGACGAACTTGTTTAAAATTGAGACACATTCGTAAAAAGTTTTGAAAATAGAGCATTATGAGATTTATTTTTTCAATTTGGAAACAACAGTGAAAAAGTCTCAAAAGTATTGATATTTTTAATAGTTTTTTATTCTGATATGATAGATATAGTAGCTTATAACTGTATTAAGTAAGGCAAAACTAAAACAATAATGCAGATTTTAAGATGACAAGAAAGTAAGGAAGATAATACTATTATAATAATACTATAATCAATTATCCAGGATAGGATATTGTCTCGGAATAAAAAAGTAGATAAAAAGATGGAAATTTTCAACCTTTACATGCTCAACATAAGATTAAGAATTGTTATTTGGCAAAGAACTGAAATGCAATACATGTTTTTACCATCATCATATAATAATGACCAATAACATAATTTTCAATGTCATTAACATTAATCAAAACAATATACTCCCTCCTCCGTCTCATCGTGAATGATCTATTTAGAATAAAAGAGTGTCTGATTACATGAATATAAATTCAACTTCACTGTTTAGTTGCTGACTGAAAAGCAAAGTGAGTACCATATTACCATTCATGATTTGATGCTGCACCGTCTTAAGAATTGTTTGTATTACACTGTCTTTTCTTCATAAAGACCTTGACTCGTGACACTACCAATATTACAAGGTAAGCAATTTCCAACAAAAGATAAGGTACATGAATCTCATCATACAAGTACAAACACAACACACTATGAAACACAACTTTATCACAAAATATGCATAATGAAAAAAAATAAAAAGAACACATTCACGCGTTTTATCCATATATTTGTCCACCATTTTTAGTTTGAAAGAAGAGAAAAGAAAAAGAATATTTTCTCATTAGTGGGACACACACACTCATTCACTTTACCATTCATGACAAAATTTTAGTTTCTTGCCACAACTTTTTCTTTGATTTTTTCAAGTTATTGTTAGGCACCGTTGTAGCAAAACCCCACCATCTAGTGCGTTACAGATAGATAGCACAAAGGAAACTTTAGATGATAAGATCTTCACCCAAGTATAGTATGTGTACTTTCAATATAGGATGAAGATTTAAAGTCTCAAATGCATAGGATTTGGATAGGATTGAAAAATAAAGCAAAAGGAAAAACATTGACTTTTGACAATTTTAAATTTTAATTCAAATTGAGTAATTTAGGAGTGTTATTTAATAACAATTTTTTTTTTTTTTAATTTTATTTGTTGAGTTAGATATGTTATTTTTTTCACGAAAAATAAATTAAATTGTTGTAATGTCTTGGGTCTCATTAGTGTTTTGCAAGTCTATTTTATAAAGTATATAAGTAATTATATTGTGATCATGATTAAAAAGTGCAATGTGCATATATAATTGATTTAAGAATTGCGACGATGTTTGAAAGCTCTCGTGAAAACAGAGTGTAGAAGAGAACCAATGAACGTGTGATTGAGTATATTCCAGAAATTCAAACTTTTAAGAAAGGCATTGGAAAGTGGAAGAAAATTTCAAAAAAGGGAGACCTTAACAAGAAAACACAAAATAGTATATTGATTAACCTAAATCTTCTTCAAGAAACAATGATGCTCATTAAAACAAGAAAGAAAAAAAAACCAACGAACAAGAAGATATCTAGTCTTATGTCACAATGTAGGTGTGGTAAATAGATATATGCATGAACCTAAAATGATGCATATGCAAGCAATTAAAAGGATCAAGGAATATCTTCATGGAACAATTGATCATGATGTTCTGTTTTCAAAATATAAAAGCCAAAGAGGAAAGTTGTGTAGCTTTTGTGATTTTTATTGTTTTGAGAAAAAGGTGAAATGGAGAAGTAAAATGTGACACGTTTTTGAACTATTCTACTTTCTAATATTATAGTATTTTCAAATTGTAAAATGCAAGAGATTTATCGTTATGCGAGACTGAATAAACCTCAGTTTAAAATGCATCATGTAAAGACACTTTGTTATAATCTTTGTTGAATGAAATGAAGATTGATAACAAAAAAGTGAAACTCGTAGTGGATCACAAGTTAATAATCAACTTTACTATAAATTTCAATGATCATGGAAGGAAAAACTATATAGAGATGAAACTCGATTTTCTTTGAAATCAAGTAAACAAGGGCCAAATCTTCTAAGACAAGACAAATGATCAAGTTGTAAATGTTCTAACCTAGCCAATAAAGATGGAGACATTCAAAGAAATGAGAAAGATGTTCACTTTACTAAATTCTAGAGATTTTGAATTAAGACAAATTTTTGAAATGTAATTAAAAGTGAGTGATATAGTGTGTTACTTGCAATGAAAGTAACAAGTTAAGTAAATCAATTACTTATGCTATTTGTTGTGCCACTAACTAATTTAATTACGATAGTCTTAACCTCTTAAGTGTATTGTAAGCTTAATTCATGTTGTATAAATAATCACATTATAATCAAGAGTGAAAAATACAATGTGCATAACTAATTCAATTCAAATCAATTTCTTTCTTTCTTCTTTTCAAGAACGTTTAACAAGTTTTAATATTCATCTATGACTATTTATAATGCAACAAGTTTATGAACGGTTTGATTTGAAGAGATAATATTTCCATTACAAAATCAAATAGTTTTTGTTCCACTATATAACATTTGTAATGACCCATACACAACCCTATTCCTTAAAATTTTAAATCAGTTTCAAATTCAAACACCTAAGCAATGTATAGTCAAAGATATCATTATTTACTTGGTACCATTCTTTGTCAAAACCAGAAACGTGACCCACATATTTTGTTCTCAACCCTCCGGACACTAGTACACTATGAGAGAATTACCAGCACATTCAAACATATATAACTGTTGATGACTCATACATGAATATAATTCTTAACATTTTCTTTGATGAGACCCAACAACAGCTTCAATTATACATACATTTGTAAACAAAAAGACAAAACCTATCGCTCCAATAATTTGTACTCCAATCTCACTTGCCCATCACAATCTGTTTCTTTTCTATTCACAAAAGGGCCTAGCCGTTTGGTGCTTCTTGTCCCCATCATGACTCATGGGCCAGTTTCATCTATGCTTTTCTCATTTTCTTTACTTGAATTATTTTCATTATTACAAATTTTTATTTAATATATTATTACCGAGAATAAATAAAGAAAAATACATTTAATTTAAAATCTGGCATCCTCAAAGCCATGTAAATCACTGACTTTATTCATAGACTTTCTCATCATAGCCACTTTAGCCAGTTTCTCAGCTGCTTTCCAAGCCGATATCGGCGTGAACGGCTCAACCTTTTCTTCGGCTTGAAGCCTTCGCAAACATTCCTGAGCCATTTCAGGATTAGATTTCTTCACGTCCGTGCTTGCTCGAGCGCGAGTGTTGACGTGTAACCGTATCAACCGTTTGATCTTAGGATTTAACGATCCAATGGGGAGGGAGCGTGGAGTACTAATCAAACGCTCCTTGGAATGAACAACCTCTTGAGTGAATGGGTCACGATATGAGGACCGTACGGAAAGAACGTGGTTGTGGGACCCATGCGATGAAGGCACTTTTAACTCAACAACGAACTCACGCTCCTCCGCCGCGTGGAGATCTCGGAGTGTGGCGGAAAACGGTGATTTAACGGCGGCGATCTCCCCTGCCACTGTGTTTTGGAATTCGAACTTGATGTCTTGAGCAACCACGCGCAATAAATTTCCGACGCTTTCTGAAAACGCGCTGTCATGAAGCGCGCGTGAGTAGTTAAGAGCGTGAACAGGGATTTCCAATTGAGAGAAGCGCGTGGAAGATAATCTCCCATCTTCGTAACCGTTTGTAAGGAGTATGATTTTGGTAACCGGATTCTTCTGCCGACGATCTTCTAGAATTTTCGCCGCTTTCATCAGCGCCTCCTTCCTTGCCGGAGCTTCATTGCCGCTTACCTCATTAGAAACAAGCGCGTCTACAATGCGACGCGCTGATCTACGACCGCGGCCGGTCATCCTACGCAACGGAAACAACCGTTTGGGTCCGCCTGGGAATGTAACAACCGAGAGACGATCTGATGAACCGAGCGAAGAGATTATAACTTGCATTGAATGTTTCAGCACTAAAAAATCTTCACCGGAAACAGAAGAATCGATATCAATCACCGTCACGAGATCCACCGGCGGCCGATTTGCCACCACATTATACGGCTTTGCCTTCACCTTTAACACTGCAATTAAAGTCTGAAAGCTCTTATTAGATGCAATAAGAGCAGACTCTGGTAACCAGAACGCATCGAATGTTCTAGTTGAAGAAACACCGAAGCCTTGAAATTCAATAGGTTCTTTGTTTTCTTCATCTTCTTCTTCTCCTTCTTGATATTCTTCTTCTTCGTTTTCATCTGATTCAGGTATGGTGTTGAAACGTGAAACGGAGCTAGACGACAAGAGTGGCTCGTCGTCGTTGTAGTTTGGGAGCTTCAACGACGCCGTCGTTTTGACGTTTTGTGCTGTGTTAGTTTTCTCTGGTTGAAGATCGTTCCAGTTAGTTCCGCACACGGGGCACGTGACGATTTGTTGATTTTTCACGTGAGCTGCTATGCATGGAAAGTGAAAAATATGAGAACATTCTGCTGTGAAAATCGCTTTTCCTTCACCTGTTTTCACACTCTGAGAACAAATTCCACATAAACTCTGCACACATAAACAAATAAATAAAAATGTTGTTAGAATCATAACAAAGTGTACTAAAGTGAAATAATATAAAATAGTGTGAATATATTTACTTTGGAAAGGCCTAAGGTAGATTTGAGAAGAGTGTAATAAGATAATGGAGAATTAGGGGATGATGAGGATGACCACTTGGGACTGTTGTTGCTTTTGTGGTCGGAAAGTGAAGAATTGGAGTCAGAGGTTCTACAACTGAGGTTGATTTGAGGACTTCCATTGATGTTGTCGAAGTCCAAATGTTGGGGTTGTGTCTCTACTAGCACTTTGGAGATGGAGTCTTTGTCTTTGGATGTGTAAAACGCTTTTCTCCATCCTGCAACCATAATGTTGTTGTTTTTTGAGTTTAATACTTGGTTGGTGTATAGGAGTTTGATTGTTTGGTAGATGTAAGGTTTTGGAGGAGAAGAAGAGAGCTTTTTTGAGCTTTAGAAATGGGAGAAAAAGTAAGAGAAAAGGGAGTTGATCGGATTCAAAGTAGCTACTCAATGCTTATTTGTTATTCAATTTTCTCCTTGGGGGCCTATTTATATTATATTGGGAACTGAAAAATTCACTTCAAAAGTAAAATTTGTTTATTTTTTAGTTTATATTTTTATAATTATATATACAATATTATTAAAAATGTTTAAAATATTTTGTTTTAAATAATTTGTCAATATTTCTTGTATGTCTTAAAATTTTGTGGAAAACTAAAAAAAAAAAAAAATCTCTGCAATGCGCGAGGCGTGAAAAATTGTAATGTTATATTTGTGAGTCCTTAAGTAAAGGCGATACAAGAGTTTTTGTCTCGTGAGGTGACGTCTGCGCACTGCCTTTATGTAATATAAAGACTCGTCATTCAGATGATACATGTGCACAACACCACTATCTTTCTATTAAATATACAGACTAAGTTATACCATGACTTCCTGAAGAATAAGTAGTCAATTTGGTATCTAGAGCCTTAGTTTTGTTCCATTACTAGATGTAAGGCTATTTCCAGCAGGGAAGGTTGTTGCCATGAGTATGCATGGGTTTTCTCACGTAGATCATACTACTCTGATCATACTACTCTTAGGAGACTCTAGGTGTCTCGAATATGCTAGTTATCTTTACTTTTTTTGCATTCAGCTTTCCTATATTGTACTACATTCCTTTCATATAATAATTAAAATTCGACTTGTTTTAATTAATATATCAGCCTTTTTTCATGCAAATTCTATTTTCTACTATTTCATCCCTTTATATTCTAAATTGATACTATCAATTTGGTATCTAGAGCCTTAATTTCGTTCCATTACTGGATGGTCTATATGCGAAGATTTTATGACATACTTATCTATAACAAGAGTTTGGAATATCACAGAGAGCATTTGAAGGAAATATTGTAAGTTCTCAAGTACTATTAATTATTTGCTAACAGGAAGAAATGCACTTTTGCACAAAAGGAAATAGAGTGCCAAGGTCATCTCATATCTGGAAATGGGGTTGCAGGTGATCCTAAGAAGATAAAATGTAAGGTGGGATGGTCAGTCCCTAAGGAGCTGAAGAGTTTGAGAGAATTTCTAGGGTTAACAGACTACTACAAAAGGTTTATGAAAAATTATGGCAACATAGCATGGCCCTTGAGTCAGTTATTGAAAAAAGATGGATTTGTGTATGGTGAGCCAGCACAAGAAGCCTTTGAACATCTCAAACAGGCTATGGCTACCATTGTAGTGCTGGTCATGCTTGATTTTGAGACGAAGTTTATGATAGAGACCGATGCAACATGAAAGGGAATAAGGGTTGTATTGATGCGATAAGGCAGAATAATTTCTTATATGAGTCAATCTCTTCCAGATAGGACTCTGAACAAATTTATATATGAAAGAGAACTAATGGCCATTATGATTTCTATCCAGAGATGGAGGCCCTATTTATTAGGAAGACACTTTAAGGTGCATACATACCAGAAGAGTTGAAATTCATCAACAAACAAAAGACTATGGTGGAGGATCAACAAAAGTGGATTTCAAAATTATTAGGGTTTTATTTTGAGATAAAATAGAAGCCTGGAAAGGAAAAAATTGCAACAGATGCTCTATTAAGGAAAATGCAATATGCCACCACCACTACAATGCAATGTGAAGCTTGGGAAAGTTTATAAGAGGAAGTACAAGAAGATGACAAATTGAAAGTTATGGTGCAAACCCTCATTAATGACCCTTTGAGTCACTCATGGTTTTAGTTAAAGGGATACAAGCTTTATCATGAAGGGAGAGTGGTAATTCCTAAACAGCTCCCTGGAGTGGCTTGGGTGTTACATGAATTCTATGACACTGCAACTGCGGGTCACTCTTGTTATTTGAGGACATACAATAAGATTGTAAGGGTAGTCTACTGGGAAGGGATGTGTAAGAGAATACAAGAATATATGAAATCTTATAAAGTTTGCCAAAGGAACAAATACCAAAACTTGACCCCAAGGGGATTTCTCCAACCTCTACTTGTACCTACTCAAATATGGATTAACATTTCCATGGATTTCATTGAAGGCTTACCCAAAGCACAAGAGGTAGACACCATTATGGTGGTGGAGAACGTGCTTACTAAGTATGCACATTTCTTAATAGTAAGTTATCCTTATACAACCAATGACATAGTTGAACTAATTATTAAAGAGGTGGTAAGACTGCATGGTTTCCCTAGCTCAGTAGTGTCAGATAGGGATAAAGTATTCCTAAAAAAAATTTGATCGGAGTTGTTTAAGAAAGATGGAACAAAAATGAAATAGAGTAGTGTCTGTTCTTGCTAAAAACTAAAAGGTTGACTTCTTCGTTCTTGCTCGAAGAGAGTCTTAGATGAATGGTTTTAAGTGTATGTTTTATGTATGATTATTGTCTATCAGTCGTCCTTATTTGCTTTCCAGTCCTCTTTATTTATAGTCTTACTATTACTGGTACACCTTCCTAAAAGGTCTGCTGCTTCCATAATTACCCTATAACGTCTGCCTCCTCAATGATTGTAAATCTCCATCCATAATGTGTTATTTCGTAATCGTCTTTTGTGTCCTTTGGTATGATATCTGAGATCTATCTTCGCCCTTCCATGTATACTCGAGACATTTCTTGGTTCACGCAAGGTCGGTTTATCCATGTTTCGCCCGGTTATTCTCAACCCAGGTCCGACTTATAAGTAGGCGTAGGGCTTTCTGGTTATTCATTCCTACTATAATCAGAATTACCGAGTTCAGATCTCAGTTGGTCAACATATTTTTTGGGATGTACATAAGCCCCACGAGCACTAGATTCATTTGAAGCGTAGTTTCTTGACAGAGATTCTCGAAACCCCTCTCCCCATAGATCAAATATTCTTCCAAATGTTCATATTCTCAAGCGCTCTAGTTGATTCTTATCTGCTTTCTGGATTCAAGGTACCATTTCTTTTCTGTTTTATTGTTTTGCCTTTATGTCCAATTTCTTTTACTGCTAGTGATATGAATAGAATCTAGAATGCCTATATGTGCGAGTTTGAGGGTTATTTAAATAGGGAGGATTTTGACCGAATTCTTTAGAAAGTTTATGGTGAAAACCTTTCGCCTAATAGTAACCCTGATACGGGATCTCCCTCCCCAGGTTCTTTAGATACCTAGATGGATGTGATAGGGTCTTTGATAGATAAAGAGGTTTTGAGTTATGTCCATAGCATTATCGACGAAAGATATATCATAAAGCTTTGTTCTACTACTATATTTTCCTCAATTGGGAATGAACATGATGTTGTATTAGAGCCCTGCGCAGCAGGTGAAAGGGTTTGTAGTGCTCGTCCTAAAGGGATATTGGAAGAGAATTTTTACTTTTACTCGGGGGTTATTGAAGATTTTAGAATCCAAATTCCTTTTATTGAATTTAAGGAAGATCTCCTCAAAATTTTAAACACAACTCCCTCTCAATTGCGTCCTAATGGCTGGGGTTTTACCAAGGCGTTTGAAATTGTTTGTGTCTTGTGAGTATAGTGCCGACCTTAGGTTTTTTCTTTTCATTCTTCAAGTTAAAGGGTGTAGAAAAGGAGTTGGGTTTCCCTTAGTGGTATACCAGGATAGGGTTTCTTGCAGGCATATACTACTAATTACAAAGGTTTTAAAGATAAATTCATTTGTGTTAATTACGGGAATAGTTGTTCCCAAGTTATGTACGACTTGAAGGGAGGTCATCGATTTCTGATTTACTGGATGGGAAACCCTTTACCCGTCTCAGGTTTTGATTATAAAAGCTTAATGACCTGGAACTTCGATCTTTTGGCTGTGTTAGATGCTTTTTGAGTAGTAAAAGTAAAAGATCTTTAACAGTTGGGCGATGAACCAGAACTGACCTTTAATTTCTTGGGGAATGTATTTTTATTTATGCATTGCCTTTCTATTATATTATTTGGTCATTTTTTTACTGGTCTGGTCTCTTATGTTTCAGCTAAGATGAAGAACCTCAAACTCTCAGAGCAGAAAAAGCTGATGGTTGAGGCTAGGTCAAAACGTGGAGACCAAGCTACTGCTAAAAGCGATCTTATGGGAATTCAAGTCCGGGCTCTTAAAAGAAAGAAACTTGACGTTGCTAAGGTGCTACCTACACTACCAAATCCCTAGCCTACCACAACTCCGGCCTCTGAAGGTCCCCAGCCCCCTTCTCTCAAGAAGGTGAAGACTTTCATGAGTGACGATGTCAGTCAAGCTGATCTTACCATAACCACCCTCATGCAGGGTTCAAGTAGTCATCAATCTCATCCTTCCTCCGAATTTTAGTTTTGGTCCAACAATTTTGATGGACTACGATACCTTTATGATATCTAAATGCTAATGAGGACGTTGAAAAGGTGAAATCCATTGACGCTTAGCAATTGACTAAGAACCTTGGTGCCTATTTAATGAGGTGCATGGTGATGACTCGAGGTTTGTTTGAAGTGAACAAGGTCCATGAGAAAAACGAGACACGTCTCTCCGGGGAAACGGTTCAGGTGAATGCCAATTTAAAGGTTCAAACTAATAAGGTAGAAGAGTTGAACCAAGAGTTGTCAGATGTGAATGAGCAAAAAGAAGCTTGGGAGTCTCGGTTACAGGAACTGACGAAACAAAAAGTGGTCTTTGAGTCTCGGTGTTTGGAATTGGAGACATATAATGCTGGTTCGACCATGGAGTTAGAGAAAGCCAGGGCCACGAACGAGACCCTGAAGAAATATCTCCAAGAAGCCCAAATGAACATTCTTTCTGCTGGCGATGAGGCTTTTGATAGAACTAAAGCCCAAACATTGTATATCATGCCTGATCTTGATGTATCGAGGATGTATTTCTTCAAGACCGTGGTGGACGGTT